CATTTTTAGTTTTCTAAAAGGCCATATCTCGTAAACTATAGGTCCTATGGAGCTGGGACCAAGCTAGTTTTGTTCAGCGCGCGATTTTACGTCGTTTGAAATCAACTTCCGGTTTGATGACGTCACTTCCGGTTTGATGACGTCATTTTCTGTTTTTATGACGTCATTTCCGGTTTTCTAAAAGGCCATATCTCGTAAACTATAGGTCCTATGGAGCTGGGACCAAGCTAGTTTTGTTCAGCGCGCGATTTTACGTCGTTTGAGATCAACTTCCGGTTTGATGACGTCACTTCCGGTTTTGATGACGTCATTTTCTGTTTTTATGACGTCATTTCCGGTTTTCTAAAAGGCCATATCTCGTAAACTATACGTCCTATGGAGCTGGGACCAAGCTAGTTTTGTTCAGCGCGTAATTTTACGTCGTTTGAGATCAACTTCCGGTTTGACGACGTCACTTCCGGTTTGATGACGTCATTTTCTGTGTTTATGACGTCATTTCCGGTTTTTTAAAAGCCCATATCTCGTAAACTATAGGTCCTATGGAGCTGGGACCAAGCTAGTTTTGTTCAGTGCGCGATTTTACGTCGTTTGAGATCAACTTCCGGTTTGATGACATCATTTCCGGTTTGATGACTTCATTTTCTGTTTTTATGACGTCGTTTTTGGTTTTCTAAAAGGCCATAACTCGTAACTATAGGTCCTATGGAGCTGGGACCAAGCTAGTTTTGTTCAGCGCATGATTTTACGTTGTTTGAGATCAACTTCCGGTTTGATGACGTCACTTCCGGTTTGATGACGTCATTTTCTGCTTTCATGACGTCATTTCCGGTTTTCTAAAAGGCCATATCTCGTAAACTATAGGTCCTATAGAGCTGGGACCAAGCTAGTTTTGTTGAGCGCGCGATTTTACGTCGTTTGATCAACATCCGGTTTGATTACGTCACTTCCGGTTTGATGACGTCATTTTCTGTTTTTATGACGTCATTTCCGGTTTTCTTAAAGGCCATATCTCGTAAACGATAGGTCCTATGGAGCTAGGACCAAGCTAGTTTTGTTCAGCGCGCGATTTTACGTCGTTTGAGATCAACTTCCGGTTTAATGACGTCACTTCCGGTTTGATGACGTCGTTTTCTGTTTTTATGACGTCATTTCCGGTTTTCTAAAAGGCAATATCTCGTAAACTATAGGTCCTATGGAGCTGGGACCAAGCTAGTTTTGTTTAGCGCACGATTTTACGTTGTTTGAGATCAACTTCCAGTTTTATGACGTCACTTCCGGTTTGATGACGTCATTTTCTGTTTTCATGACGTCATTTCCGGTTTTCTAAAAGGCCATATCTCGTAAACTATAGGTCCTATGGAGCTGTGACCAAGCTAGTTTTGTTCAGCGCGCGATTTTACGTCGTTTGATCAACATCCGGTTTGATTACGTCACTTTCGGTTTGATGACGTCATTTTCTGTTTTTATGACGTCATTTTCGGTTTTCTTAAAGGCCATATCTCGTAAACTATAGGTCCTATGGAGCTGGGACCAAGCTAGTTTTGTTCAGCGCGCGATTTACGTCGTTTGAGATAAACTTTCGGTTTGATGACGTCCCTTCCGGTTTGATGACGTCATTTTCTGTTTTAATGACGTCATTTCCGGTTTTCTAAAAGGCCATATCTCGTAAACTATAGGTCCTATGGAGCCGGGACCAAGCTAGTTTTGTTCAGCGCGCGATTTTACGTCGTTTGACATCAACTTCCGGTTTGATGACGTCACTTCATGTTTGATGACGTCATTTTCTGTTTTTTATGACGTCATTTCCGGTTTTCTAAAAGGCCATATTTCGTAAACTATAGGTCCTATGGACCTGGGACCAAGCTAGTTTTGTTCAGCGCGTAATTTTACGTCGTTTGAGATCAACTTCCGGTTTGATGACGTCACTTCCGGTTTGATGACGTCATTTTCTGTTTTTATGACGTCATTTCCGGTTTCTAAAAGCCCATATCTCGTAAACTATAGGTCCTATGGAGCTGGGACCAAGCTAGTTTTGTTCAGTGCGCGATTTTACGTCGTTTGAGATCAACTTCCGGTTTGATGACATCACTTCCGGTTTGATGACGTCATTTTCTGTTTTTATGACGTCGTTTTTGGTTTTCTAAAAGGCCATATCTCGTAACTATAGGTCCTATGGAGCTGGGACCAAGCTAGTTTTGTTCAGCGCACGATTTTACGTCGTTTGACATCAACTTCCGGTTTGATGACGTCACTTCCGGTTTGATGACGTCATTTTCTGTTTTCATGACGTCATTTCCGGTTTTCTAAAAGGCCATATCTCGTAAACTATAGGTCCTATAGAGCTGGGACCAAGTTAGTTTTGTTCAGCGCGCGATTTTACGTCGTTTGATCAACATCCGGTTTGATTACGTCACTTCCGGTTTGATGACGTCATTTTCTGTTTTTATGACGTCATTTCCGGTTTTCTAAAAGGCCATATCTCGTAAACGATAGGTCCTATGGAGCTAGGACCAAGCTAGTTTTGTTCAGCGCGCGATTTTACGTCGTTTGAGATCAACTTCCGGTTTGATGATGTCACTTACGGTTTGATGATGTCATTTTTTGTTTTTATGATGTCATTTCCGGTTTTCTAAAAGGCCATATCTCGTAAACTATAGGTCCTATGGAGCTGGGACCAAGCTAGTTTTGTTCATCGCGCGATTTTACGTTGTTTGAGGTCAACTTCCGGTTTGATGACGTCACTTCCAGTTTGATGACGTCATTTTCTGTTTTCATGACGTCATTTCCGGTTTTCTAAAAGGCCATATCTCGTAAACTATAGGTCCTATGGAGCTGGGACCAAGCTAGTTTTGTTCAGGTCGCGATTTTACGTCGTTTGAGATCAACTTCCGGTTTGATGACGTCACTTCCGGTTTGATGACGTCATTTCTGTTTTTTATGACGTCATTTCCGGTTTTCTAAAAGGCCATATCTCGTAAACTATAGGTCCTATGGAGCTGGGACCAAGCTAGTTTTGTTCAGTGCGCGATTTTACATCGTTTGAGATCAACTTGCGGTTTTATGACATCACTTCCGGTTTGATGACGTCATTTTCTGTTTTTATGACGTCATTTTTGGTTTTCTAAAAGGCCATATCTCGTAAACTATTGGTCCTATGGAGCTGGGACCAAGCTAGTTTGGTTCAGCGCGCGATTTTACGTCGTTTGAGATCAACTTCCGGTTTGATGACGTCACTTCCGGTTTGATGACGTCGTTTTCTGTTTTTATGACGTCATTTCCGGTTTTCTAAAAGGCCATATCTCGTAAACTATAGGTCCTATGGAGCTGGGACCAAGCTAGTTTTGTTCAGCGCACGATTTTACGTTGTTTGAGATCAACTTCCGGTTTTATGACGTCACTTCCGGTTTGATGACGTCATTTTCTGTTTTCATGACGTCATTTCCGGTTTTCTAAAAGGCCATATCTCGTAAACTATAGGTCCTATTGAGCTGGGACCAAGCTAGTTTTGTTCAGCGCGCGATTTTACGTCGTTTGATCAACATCCGGTTTGATTACGTCACTTCCGGTTTTGACGTCATTTTCTGTTTCTATGACGTCATTTCCGGTTTTCTAAAAGGCCATATCTCGTAAACGATAGGTCCTATAGAGCCTTGACCAAGCAAATTATGAACCTCTTGAAACTAGACGGTCTGGTGCTAAGTCAGTATTAATGTACAAGATACTTAATAACCATACTGCGCCCGCTCTTCGGGAGTCTTTTCGTAGGATCCCAAGGCCGAATCGAGAATACCTTAAAAAAAATTCAAATATAGCCGCGCTATGCTTTGGAATCGGCTCACAAACGAAGCAAAATCAGCTGAGTCGCTCGTTAGTTTAAATCAATTGTAGTTGCACACTGAAATGCATCCTAGTTACCTGTGTGTGAAACCTATACCGTATTCTTATTACTATCTTAATAATTAAACACGCCCCTCGTGGAAACCAGTCTAGAGTTGATGGGGCATGCATGTTTCTTAAGATTTCCACGTTTTCATGCGATTTCCACTTCTGTTCGTGAGCTTTCGTTCGTGTTCATAATTTTTTGATTCCTGTTCACTCGTGTTCGTGATCTTTGGTTCGTGTTCATGATTTTTTGACTCGTGTTCATTCGTGTTCATAATTTTTTTATTCGTGTTCACTCGTGTTCGTGATCTTTGGTTCGTGTTCATGATTTTTTGACCTGTGTTCACTCGTGTTCATTCGTGTTGATGATTTTTTAACTGGTGTTCACAAGCGTTCATATTTTATGGCGCGCCAGACGGGACAAAAATACTTCCTTTAAAATACATGACTTGTTTTAGAAAATTACACCTATAAATGTGCGCATATAGAACTTTCCAAAGGATTTAAAACTTATCTTACAAAAACTACACCTTTTCAAAGAGAATAATATACTTTTTTTGGAACAATAGTTGTTATATTTTAAAACTATCCAACACGCAAAAGACTTGTTCCTTTTAATAACACTTCTTTTTTAATTGATCGCGGGCTCAGAAAATATCGCGGGCGCAGGTATAATCAATCATAGGATTCTCAAACGCGCGAAAATAGAAAAAAAATAGTTCGTAAATCATGGCGGCGGAAATAGTTGAAGAAACAATTGTAGAAAATGTGCAACGAAATGCACAATACGGGCAAATTCGTCGATATCTTGTCCTCGGAAAAGATCTTTTTAATGAAATGGATCGTAACCGCTTAACGTACGACGAAAATTTGGCCGAAGTTCTTCATAATCGATGTTCTGCCTTCATTGAAGGGCTCGTCACAATTTCAAGGAATGTCGCTTTCACTGAAGAAATAGTCAACGACTTTTGTTCACTAATCAATGAATTTCAGCGCATGAAGTGTATTTATGAAGAACGTTTTGATGGCTTTGGTAGAGACGATTTACAATATGTGTGCCCAATAGATAAGCGACAAAATTCTGGGAAAGGACGTCCAAAATTTTTTAATACCCCGTGCCCAGCTTGTTGGTCTACGTTCACTGAACTTCACATGGAAAGCAATTTCAGATATGCTTGGTGTGTCTGTGAAAACAATTTTACGTCGAAGACATGAACTCTCTTTACCAGTTGGGGAGGACACTTATACTTGTATTACAGATGAAGAATTGGACGAGAAAATTTCATCTATTCTCACTTCATCACCAAACTCAGGAGAAAGAATGGTTATGGGCGCACTTACTGCAAAGAATCTTAAAGTTAAAAGGGAGAGAGTCCGTGCATCAATTTTCCGTGTCGATCCAGTGAATCGAATGCTTCGAAGACATACCTCAATCAAAAGAAGAGTTTATAATGTCCCCACTCCAAATGCACTATGGTATGTGGGTAAAGGTGTAAATGTAATATGGGAGAATGTTTAAGCACAATTTGCAATGCCAGTTGTTATTCCTGGAATTATTAGCATTGGGATTCCCAATGCTAAGAATTCAAGGAGAAATAATTTGGGAGTGTTGGAAATAGTTGTTTGTGTAACAATGGGTTTCTGTTTTTTACCCTCCAATTACTGGGAAGAATTTCATAATCAAATAATACAAGTGAATATCATCTAATATACAATCAATGCAATTTGCTTTTGGTGACCAGATAAGGGATACACAATTACTAGTTATTTTACTTATTTACCAATATAAATGCAATGTTTACTCATAGGCATTTGGATGGGAATCATAAGCTCATACGATGGAGAATGGTGATTCATGGAGGTATAGATGGGTATTCCAGAGCAGTTGTGTTCCTCCAATGCTCTAATAACAATGAGGCTGTAACTGTCTTGGAACAGTTTTTGCATGGTACTAGAAAATTTCACTTTCCTCGTCGTATACGCACAGATCATGGAACAGAAAATGTGGAAGTTGCAAGATACATGTTGCAGAAGTACAACATACAATCCAATCCTGTTATTACAGGCAGATCGGTCCACAATCAGAGGATTGAACGGTTGTGGAAGGATGTCTTCACATATGTGCTGCAACATTACCATAATCTTTTCTATTTCCTTGAGGCAAATGGTGACCTTGATACAGACAATGAAATTCATATGTTTGCTTTACAATATGCTTCATGCCAAGAGTGAACCGGGCACTTGAATGCTTTATAGCCCAATGGAATCATCATCCCATCAGAACCGAGGGAAATCAGAGTCCATTACAACTTTGGACAGCAGGTTTTTATGAATTTGCTGAGTCTGACTACAGAGCAGTTCGAGATGTTTTGGATTTTGAAACAGTCAACTTCAATGAGTATGGTGTGGATGATGATGGGCCTACCCCACAATTGCAAACAAATAATCATGTGGTTGTACCAAGATCTCTTGTTGAACTCTCTGAGGAAGAGGAAGTATTCCTCCATAGTCATGTAGACCCACTAAATGAGGATGGAAACTTTGGAATCACCCTGTATAAGAGATCTATAAACCTTGTAGAAGAGTTCCAACAAGAAATAGATTAGTGACAAGAATATTGCTTTATGAGAAATACATATTGGAAATAGGCAAACAGAAGCAAGCAAGCCATTTAGTTAAGCTGACACATGAAATGTATTTGGCTCTGTCTGAACTCTAAACACAACATGGTAATAGGAATACTCCTTGAATAGACAACAGTTGTCAATCTTAGAGAAAAGTCCTTTTGTAAATATAAACAACTGAAACATAAAATGTGCAGTAAAGACATGCACAAATGAACACCAACAATAACATTAATAAACAATAGTTGCCATTTGTTTAGTAACTTAATAACTTAGTATGAAATTTAAAACTGAATGAGGGTGACATCTATACTCATACTACCATGCTACTACCATGGGTAGGTGCAGTACAAGTATGGATGTCACCCCTAATAAAAGCATAACATTTGGCAATGCTTGCAATATTTAGGCAGTATTGACTTAAGAATCATAAGCATGTGCAGTCAGTGCAGGTATACAAAATGCCTTGGGAAAATTAGTTCAGTAAATCAGCAACTTTAATATATTTTTCCAGCAACTCATTAGCTATAACAAAGATGCATAAATAAAAAAAATTCCTTTGCATGACATTTAGAACAATGCTATTTTGCCAGCTCCCCAAAAATTTGCCAAATGTCATGCTTTTATTATTCTTGTTACAATTTTCAAGCCAGCTGTTAATAAAGTTAGATTGCAATTCAGCAGGAATCTAAAGATTTCCAAAGCCACAACAGTCGCACAGGGCAGAGATAAGAAGGTCACCAAGTTCTTGAGATGAGCATGAATGAATTGGTAGTATTATCACCAAAGCACAAGTAGATGCTGTTGGTCTACACTTGCAACCACTGGGGCAATCATGCCTGAAATGGACATTAAGAGAGCAAGGAAAACCAATGGGTGGAATAGATTCACAACCAGTAATAAATTTCAACACATCCTTCAGTTTCAAGTCTGGAGCCTCACATATACCTACAGTAAAGAAAATTAGAAATAGTCTTTTGGGAATTGTTGTATTGTAGCTAGTTAAAATGTCAAATGATACCTTCATAGTACAAAGTCTGGATGAAATCTGTAAAGTATTTGAATATGTCCTGTTCTTTTGATTTCAAAAGCTGTTGTTCACTAAAATGTACAACTAATCGCTGGATGAGGTCATCAGCTGTGATATCAAAGCTGCTATTTGCTGTAAATATTGGTTTGAATAATTCTGGGTATTTTCGAATTTCATGTAACAGCCCATACTGTTCCAAACCTTCTCCTAATTGGTTAAGCATTGGTATCTTTGGGACCACAGCCTCATTCACACAAATGCATCTAATAATTGATGAATTTTAGCATTTAATCACAATATTTATTATTGAAACGAAAATAATGGATGGGTTTTGATCCCAATAAGTTATCCATAAATTCATACGAATGTGTCTAAACACTGGAGTATGAAGGGAAAGAAAAAGGCTTGATCATAATAATTGCAAACATAGCAAATTGTGACTACCTTATTAGATTTTCCTTGTTCTTAACACTTTCTCTGGTTGGAATTCTTCTATAACCTATTCCATCTAACTCAGCCATCACTTCATCTCCGAGCAGAATTTCTTGCAGCTCACTATCAGATGTGGCAATTGCAATCTTAAAAAATGTGTGATATTACTGATATTAATAATTGATTATATATCAACCCACTATCTCAATTTCTTTATGTAATTAACATGTAAACTAGGTAAAAAAACTATTAAAATCAAAATGCTGATTAACATGAGTAAAAAAAGCAAAAATATATTTAATAAAGCAACACATTTTAGTTCCTACAATAGGTTGAAAAAAAATTACAAATATAGGCTGACATTCTCATAGAAATAGTTTTGATATATACCCATTCTAACCTTTTCTACTGCAACTTTAAGAGAATCTCTTTTTACATCATTGACTTGAATGGTCACTGCATCAAGGCCACCTGAAATAAACTGATACACCCAATTGGCTAAAAAGTTAGGAGCTGGACCACC